TGTTAGAGAGAGCCAACCTTTGTGACGCAGTTTCGTCGCACTTGCTTGGTAGAGGATTGCAATAACAAAACAGTCCACGAAAATCAACACTCGATATCCCAAAGAAGAGGAATTATTTCCCTTATATACCAATTGCCAAAGGTTCCAAGCTTGGCAAGGTGGTGCACCAACATAGGTCACTCGGATGTTAAAAACTACCGGTACCTTGCAAGTGACTTATTCACGACATAAAAAAGCCGATGTACGGACCTCAAACAAAACCAGACGATATACGGATCGAACAGACCAGTTACTGTTAAAAAAAAAGTTTACGCGAGTCCTACAACCAGTACCATCACGGAAAAACTGACCAACCGCTTTTAACGGACCAAGCAATATCAAATGACCCGAGAACACTTTTGACTTGAAATCTTATCGAAGAGTCACACTTTGACTATTGCAACATTGTTTGGGGAAACTGTAGGATAACTTTAGTTACAAAACCAGCAAAATAGAGTAGTCCATGTTTTGACCTACTCAAACTACGACGTAGATGCTGGTCACCTGTTCAAACTTCTCGGGTGGAAAAGATTTAGTACTTCAGCAGCAAATTCAAAAAGTTACGATGGTTTGCAATTCTCTTCACGGGTTGGCGAGAGGCGAGAAAACGCATCTAACCTAAAGGACTCTGAAAATAAAATAAGACTGCCATTGCCGCGCACAAATTATTATAAAAATAACTTTAGCTATAATGGCACCATTCTTTTGAACAGTTTTCCTTGCGATTTAAGGGAAGCAGAGTCCCTGTTAAACACCTACTCAAAAGAGATGTCTAAGACACGGAATTCGTGGCAAGCAGCTTTTTTATTTAATTATTCCCATCATATTAGACATTAGGAACCAAATATGTATTAGGTTTTTAAGCTGACGAATTTTTTTAAGCCTTGTTTAAATAAAGATTATTATTATTAAGACGACTTCCGTTCAGGTTGTCGAAACGTCAGCCACCAACATTAGAACTACCTTCACCTAGACGATTACTACACACTAGACGATCTAATGATATTCCTCACTTCAAACCATTTACTCTGTTATCGACATGTTACTGGGTCTGCGTAAGTTCCTTTCCTTTATGCAAATATGTCTGTTGTGATTGGGTAAAGCTAAAACATCGGGAAGATATTCTGGCTCTCTGATATGTTAGCCGTGTATGTTCGTACGTTTTTCGTGGCAGTAGTCTTCAAATTCAAGCTTTTTAGTTGAGTAAGTGTTTAAACAAAAATAAATACTTTATTGTTGTCGTTCCTGTTGAATATAAGATAATCCAGATTCAATGTGATCCGAGCCCGTCACCGATGCTCTTCAATGTCTTATATCTTTCACTCAAAGCTTGACTGTATTAACTTGTTGCATACAAATATGTACCTTCTTGCTTTTCCAACCGCAAAGTTAAAATTAGCGGAAGGAATTATGCACATTATGTACATGTAGGTCGGCTGACTGAGTCTCGTCAACCAATTTTTTTTTTTTTTTTAATTCATTAACGATCTCGGCTTATGATTTTTCTTACCGATAGTTGATATCAATGGCATGGAATAGTACGAAAATACTAGGCGAATTTTCATACTGTACTTAAAACCTGAACTGAAACCTGTCAAGCTGAACAGCCACAATGTTGCAGCTTTCCGTTTTATGCTTAAATTCAACTGAACACGTTTTCTTTGCACTATACCTAAATTTTAAAACTCGCAGTGCTACCTAATTTAATCCATAAAATAATGTGCGCGTTTTCCCTTTTAATTTTGATTTCAATAAGATTCTCACTTTTGATTTCCTGACGTAAAAAATCGTGATATTGAAATATGAAACAAGAAGGGAATTACAAGATAGAAAGTTAAGATATTTTTTTGTAAGTGTGTGTGATTTTATCATTTTTCATTTTCTAATTAAGAATTTCCCCAACACTTCAAGTCGATACCAACAATCTTTTAATATACTTGACACGAAAAAGAAACCTTCAAGCGCTAAATTATATTAAGGGTCAAATGGATATTGAAACAAGCAATAAATTTCCTAAGGATACACTGATGTTCAACTGGATTTTTATTTCCCAGTCTCCCTGAGCGTGGATTATCTTTGGATGTTATAGGGGGCCAGATAAGGTGAGGAATCCGTCACGAAAACTTTGCTATGGGTATTTTAAGTGATATCATACGTCATTTAGAATACATTATGAAGTAAGAAAATAATGCGAAATAATGAATAATGGAACTAGAATGAAAATGGCTTGAAGAAAATATGATATTAGGTACCCTTCAGATGGACGCATTTTAACTAGAGTTTTCATGTCGTTAAAGCGATGCTACGAGTCCTATTCTTTTTTTTTTTCCTGTTTCAAAATGATACTAAGAATATGTTTCCCTGCGGTAAGAATTCAAAAACAACAATATGACCGCAAATAGTGCGGTAGATATCTATCTCTTTAGGCAATGCACGGGTTATTGGCTCGTGCCGGTTTCACTTAAGCTGTTTACCAATCAGGTTAAGTTTCCTCGTAACCTGCATACATAATGCAAAATGAACCCAGTGTCTAATCACCTGTTACTTCTGTCACTTTTTTCATAATCCTCGCCGGGTGCTTTCCGCCAAATCACACGCTAGCGTTAGCGAACCTGACGATGTAGAAAATCATGACCACTGTGTCGGACCTAGAACCCGATATTTTGAGTCACGGAGCGAAAATCGCCAGAAAGTCGGTGGATAAATGGCGACGATTAAAACATCGCCGTGCTGCCAAATGCGCCGAGAATCACAAATTTGCCAACGGTTAGTCCTTACTCCTCTTACTGAGTTTGTTTCTTGAAGCATATTTGCATTTTATTATTAACTTAAATTGCACACATTTTACGAAGGCAAACTGTATATTACTGAGAGTTTCGCGTTTCTAATGCTCAAGAAAGGATATTTTTTTTACCATCATCACTCTGCAAACTTTCAGGTCCACCGAGCTCATTATTCCTCTCGGAATTAATTCATAAATTCAACTCCACATGCTTTTATTGCAGTTGGAGACTCGCTCGATGTTATGCACAAAGGTACGCTGATAATCAAACTTCGCAGCTCATCCAAGAAATATTCTAGGAAATATTTCCTCGATCAAGAGGCTGTAAACGTCCGCTGGACTCCGTCCAAGAAAGGAGACCGTGCAAAGAGTAAGGTCTAGTTTTGTGTTCATATTTATTTAACACCTAAGTTAAATAGCAATTGTAGTCAAAACATGCGAAGCGTGGTACGATACATTCTCGGCTTGCTCTGTGGTTGTAACAACGTAACTGAAAAAATGAAATCAATTTAGAAAAGAGGGCTTTATCGTGAAAAATAATTTCCTAAACCATTTCGATACGTGGTTTTCGTCTCTCTCCGTATTTAACGCGAGGATAACTTGTATTTGTCGTTGTCATTTGTCGAGTAAATGGAAGTGCTGGTACTTTTTGTTAGACTGTAGCAGCAAGAGTTCTAAGAGCGTATAAATAACAATGGAAATATCATATGCTCGCATGTTTAGTTGTTTAAAGTGGCTTAATGAATGTCAAGAGCGATTTACGAATTAATAAGGAATATTTCAAATTCCGCTACGTCTAAAATGTATTTTTTTTTTCTTCGTAAAGGTTTTTGCCAACGCATTCTTGGCCGCAAGAGGTTCAGAGTAAACCTTGCTTTAGGGAAAAAAAAAAATCTCCCCAAAGAGCGATACAAATTTAAAAGAGGCAGCCACTTTTAATCAATAATTGATAGATCCATAACCCGAGTGAATCCCCTTTATATCGACATGTGGGTGAAACATCTTATCTTCTGAGATGTCAGCCATAAAAAACCTGGATTCGAGCCAATATATATATAATGAGCAAGTTAATTTCAATATGCATTTTAGTAACTTTCACTTCGAGACATTTTTAATAAAACTCTTAGACATGTATGGAATAATTAACTACAGGGGATATTTATGCTAGGTACGAATAACCATAACATTACTAAGTGAGTCGATTACCCGCGCTATGAGATTGATTAAGTTAGATCCTTTTTTCAGTGGTTAAAAAAAAAAAAGAAAAGAAAAACATAATTTCTTGCTCTACGACTACGTCTTTAAGCTGCATTTTCGGTGAGTTTAAAAGTAGTTTCCTAGAAAATTTCTAGAAATTTCTAGAATGTCTCCAAGATGAATGGTGCATTTGGAAATAAAATAGCATAAGTATTTGCATTGAATTGTTTATGAAACGCGAAAAGAGCAGGGGTATATAAAAATAAAACAATATATGGAGGATCAAGCTAGCAATTAAAATAAATATATTTTAAAAACATGTTCCATGTTGCCATGCGTCTGTTCAGCAATAGTTCACAAAATGTGGTGGGAACAAAATAAAGTGGCACAGGAGCCGTTAGGCGAGTGTATCACTGATTTTCTTATCACATTTCTTACAACTCAATTCTTACCACGCAGAGGCAGCGAGAGGTCATTTGTTTCGGATTATTCCACGTTTTCTGTTCCCAAGAGAAGAATGCTTGAAATCAGATCTCTGTGTCCCGGATTAGGAGTGGAGACTCGATAAAGCGAGGAAATAATCCGGGTTCAGTCTTTTGTTGTTGGTGTTGTTGGTGTTGTTTTTTGTTTTGTGCTTTTTTTTTTTTTTTTTTTTTTTTTTTTTTTTTTT